ATAGGCGCTCTGCCAGGCGCATATTTGTGACACTAGTGTAGCGTGATACTTTGATTAATAACTTGTATGGCGACTATAGATGATTGTGTTACGTGAATGTTGATGACCGTGATATGTGACAGTATATGTCTTGAATGTGTGACTGTATGTGACTGTGACACGTGACTAAGGGCGACTATGATATACGACTATGCTTGACTATGACACATGACTGGGAATAGCAATGATGTTTAACAGTGATGAAGGGTAACGTGCGACAGTGAGCAATAGTGACGTGCGACGGTGGGTGGCTGTGATGGGCGATGACAAACAACTATAGTGTGCGGCTGTAAATGACTATAACGTGCAACTGGTAACTGGTATAGGCAACTATGCTTTGCTGTGACATGAATGACTGTGACGTGCGGCTTATGAACAACTTGAATGACTATAACATGTGACCTTGAATGAATGGAACACATGACCTTGAATAACTATAACGTGCGACAGGTGGTGATGAGTTTGTGCAACTGTAGGCTACCGTGTTGTGCACTAGTAAAGGAATGTGCCGTGTAATTAGGAAGGAATGTGACGTGTGACAATAGCAAGGTTCTCACGATAGACCCTTACTATACGTTCAAGACTGACTGATATATATACTATGATATAGCCCAGTGTACTTCCGTATGAGGTAGACTAAGACTAAAGTATAGTGACTGTGATGTGAATAGAACTATGTGAATGGGTGACCAATGGCCTAAGACTAGGCTACTAGAGTTAACTAGTAACAACAACCCAAGAGTACAAGAGATGGTACAGATTGAAGGTCAAGTTGTGTGTCCCTCTGACCATCCAAATTACAGGCTTATATACTACTTGATAAGTTTATTTTCCCACTCCTGTGATCATGCCTCTCCCTTATTAGTCCTTTCTATTACCATATCCATCCTCTTATCTCTCTAAATTTCTTCTACTTCTGCCTATAATTACTTTCAAAAACTCTGTTTCCACTATTTTGATTACTATCTTCCTAGGATTCTTTGCAATTATAGAGATGCTTGTAGCTGGGTTTTTCTTATACTCCTTTGATAATGAGTTTTTCCCAATTAATAGAGCTACACATTTACACATATTTCCTGCTTACGTGCCTTGTAATCTGGAATTAATGTGTAAAAGTCTTGCTTTTTATGTATGATTAATAAGGTTTATACTGTACGACTGCTAAACTGGTGTGATGAAGTAGAGAATGTAATAGAGATTAGATATGCAATTGCCAAGGAGATATTCCAGTCAGATCCATTTTTGTTATACGTTAAGCATCTGTTTTGACTGCGGGCATCTATTTTATGTAATTGAGCAGGCGGTTTTGAAAAGGCTGCTGTGTGGCATTTTTCCTTTCCTCTTGCCATCATCATCATGGACCAAGACCCTTGGTTTTATGCAGCAAGTCTTTATTTTATCACAGCTGAGTGATTGGTGACTTAATGTGATCGTTTTTAACAGCTGGGTGATTACGCTATGACTTTCGTCAATTGCCGCCCAGGTTACTACCTGGTAGTGCGCAATGAGCATATTGATGTGCGTATGCTTATGTGGCTTTGGGTCTCTGCTAGTCTGATTACGCCCGGCCTACGTTGTTTTTAATAGATGAACTCGTTTGTGGAGTTTCTAGACTGGAAATCTCCATGCGGCCTTGTGCAAATTGGGTATGTGCCCTTTTTCAATCTCTTCCCTTATTCTTTCCTCTGAATCTACTCATATGATCCCTAGTGGCGAGTTGACCCGTCAGATTCCTCACGCACAGGTCTCCTGGATGGTCCCGTTCTACTGGCGTGCATATGGCCAGTATTCCCGTGTTCATCTGCTGTTGCGCCCGGTCATTCCGTATTTCAAGCAAGGGTTTCTTCCGGCTATTGCAGTTATGATTACCGGAGCTGTTCTTTATCACGTGCTGTTCTAGACGCTCTGTACTTGCCCTCGTCTTGTCTCATCCTGTGTATAATTGTGTTAATTTGATACTGCCATGCACTAACCTTGTTTGGTGTGTGACAACATGAGCGACGTGCTTAGGTAATCGAAGAGAGAAAAAGCCAGATTTGTTTTTTGTCCCTCAGTCCATTTTGGCTACACTATGCGAGCACGAGACTAAGGTGAGATCTCGTTTACTATACTTTACTAGCATTATCTAATTGCGCCATAGCTACGGTATTCTGGTACTATCTACAGGTAATGCAATACAGTCCGTTTTGGCTACGCTACACAAGCATGAGACTGAGCTACGGTATTCTGGACTACCTACAGGTCCCACACAACTGACAATAGGTTATGAGCCCCACGCAGCTCTAAATCAACAGAGTTTATGCACCTAGATCGCCACCCACACCATGACAGGCACAATTTCCGCAAAGCCCAGCCAGGGCTCCAGCTGTCTCTACGACGTGCCATCACTTGAAGATGACAGATCAAACTTCTAGACATAGAAGTACCACATCAAGATGGTCCTGGAGATCCGTGGACTATGGAAGATCGTAGACGGCTTGGAAATCAAACCGATATATCTGGAAAAACCTCATCTTCTAGAGGCTACTAATTTTCGAAAAAGTACTAGTCTAGTACTAGCTGGCAACTAATCTAGCACTAATTTAGCTAAATTAGCACTAGACTAGTACTAAATTAGTTCTAGAATTGCCAAATTAGTACTAGATTAGT